ATCATGCTTTACGAATTCCTTGTGTGATGTTGGCTGTGACTCCTGGAACAGTGAGTGTGCTGACCTTCCCTCGAAGCCCTGTGAGATCCTGATTGCTGCCATGAGCAAAAAGGTGGGAAATCCCAACTTGCTCTGCAGCCTTTTCTGACGTTTACTGGGCTTTCATTCTCACATGGATTTGTAGATCATGTATTGCTCTTTGGGATTTCCTTAGGCCAAATATCAAGTGTTTAGGTTCCTTGTAAGTCTTAACAGTATCCCTTCATGTCTTAAACCAGACTGATAACCAAAGCATATAGAGTACACGATAGTCCAGCTATGCACTTCATTAACATTAGAACCTGCTGTGGAGGCTGTGGTTCACTGAAGGAATCTGAGGTAGGCACTAACTGCATTGCTATTTGTGACATCAGAGCTGGCTGGAGGAGCCTTCTCTAATCACCTTCAGCTATTTGTGTGTAAGGAAATGGCAGGAATTGCCAGACAACAGATTTTCCTTTTTGCAGATGTCAGGGAGTTAAAGTTTCTCTATGTGCCACTGCCAGGATAAGTAACCGTGCTGAAAGAGCTGTGGACTGTTTAACTTTTCTCTTCCAGCATCTTTTGAAAGTTCAAGATGAATACAAAAAGAGAGAAGCTGAGCTGGAAAAAGTGAAAGAAGACAAACTAAAAATCGAAACATTATTAGAAACCCTTAAGGAGCAGGTAGGGGACTTCTTGATCCTTTCTTATTCTTCAATAGTAAATGCAGTTCTTGCACTTCATGGCCTGTAGCGTGTGCAAGGAAGGAGAGGGTGTAGAAGATGCCTAGCCTTGCTTAGGAGAAGTGGTCTTTTGAAAGGTAGAGAAAATTACCTGATTAATTGGAGGTTGCATAAATGAACTTCCTGATTGCTTCATGTAACAGTGAGGCAACCATCAGAACTGGATAAATATAAGGCTGTATTTTGTTTGTGGGTTTGCATGTGAATCTAGGCTTGCTTGGTCCTCTCCTTCGTAGCAGATTCAATTATATGGGTACCTACAGGATAGATGAGAAATATTACAGAGCACTTCTCGTGGAGGACTGTAAAGCAAGTGCCTTTGGACCCTTCCTTCCCTGACTTTGTATCATTAACCCCACCATTTTGTGCCTTGCTCTAGGGAAGGTGATAAATACTTAGCTTTTTAGTAATCAAAATAGAGCTTGAATATCAGAGATCTCCAGAGTGGGAGCTTTGATGGATATTAAAGAACAAAAATAACACACTAACATCAGTAACCTTTCCTTTTCTTACACATAGCAAAGCGTAGCAAATGAAGAGGACAAAGAGAGAGATGTTACTGATGGCCAAGGGAATGTAAGTAAAGTCTTCTGCTGCTTTAGTCAGCATTTTATTGAGGGAAGTAGTGATATCTCATTGTACAATGAGCAATTGACTGCTGCAAAGCATACAGACGTGGTACATAATGGCCTGTCTATCAGTTTACAAGTTAAGAACTTCAAGTTATCCATAGCAACTTATTTTGAGGATAATAAATTATGTGAATTTACGTTTTAATTCAGTTCTGTGAATTCACGTCAAGGAGGGTTCTGATGCCAAGCCCTCTGCAGGCAGGAGGCACTTGCTTAATCATGCTGCCACTGTTTATGCATCTAAAAAATGTACATGTGCATCTGAATTAGTTGCTGCAAGACTTTCTGTCTAGTCTAGTTTTGGTCTTCCAGGGCAGATGTCATGTGAGTGACCAAGGATGATGAAAGTGCATGCTGTGGTGTTTTATTTAACATCATTAACTTCAGTCTAGCTTGGTTATTCAGACATGCAGGTTCTGATAGCAGCATGAACATCATTCTGATGTGTTGGATGCCTTTTGCAATAGAGAGATAAATAAAGCAATATGATGGCTCATAGAAACAGGAAAAGAAGAATACAGAGTCAGGTCTTATTGAGCTGCTGCTTGGTGTGTAAGTGTGCTTCCTGTGCTGTCGGTGTGTGGAACAGGCCTGTGTGGTTTTTTTTCTGCAGGAGAGCAGTATGCCCAGAGTTTGTGCATGCAGCCAGGAGAAGGAGTGTCCAGTTGAGAAGACACTGAGCAATAGCCCTGTGAAATCAGAACGAGAAGCTCTCTTAGTTGGTGAGGCCTTTTGATTAGTGATGATGTTAGAGACTGAAGTGGTGGGAGTTCCTTCGGAGCGGCCTCTCAGCTGCTAGGGGCTGCCTTTTGTTTCTTGAGTTGTGCCTGTAGAGGTGGGAGTCCTGCAACCTACGACACACGGCCCTCTGCTGCTCTGCCCATTGACCTCTGTCTTTTCCTGCTCCTTGACCTGGCACAGCTGGAGCAGAGTTCTGCTTTCCTCTTCTTTAGCCTTGCATCCGCACATTTATAATAGCTCCCTGCTGAATTCTGGTGAGGTTTGACATGGAGCACGTTACCATTACTTGGCAGGGAGTGAGAGTGATGAGATCTCTCCTGCATCACTTAGCTGTCATTTACTTTGTAGCCCACAGACCAAACTTCACTGAATTTAAAACCAAAAATGCCAAATAAGATCCCTGTGTGCAGTGCCAGCAGTGGCAGAGAGCTGGTGTTCTCAGCTGATGGTTCTCATGAAAATGACATTTGTGGCTTTCCTTTCCCCAGGAATAATTTCAACATTTCTTCATGTGCACCCATTTGGAGCAAGCATAGAGTACATTTGTTCCTACCTGCAGCGCCTGGACAGCAAAGTAGGTGCACTAATACCCTCATTTCCTGATTAAACACCAATTATACATGTTTGAATGCATGCAGACATTAGAGGGCTTCTGTAACCAACAGCGTCTTGCGTTTTAGTGAAATTTCCCTTTCCTTTTCACAGATTTGCACCACAGAAGTGGAAGTTCTCATGACCAGACTACAGACGACATTTAAACAGGAGCTGAGTGGGGTTGGGGCCAGTTTGGAGAAAAAATGGAAGTTTTGTGGCTTTGATGGCTTGAAAATGACTTGAACTTCAGCTGAACTGACTTAACACTGAAAGCAACAGCAGGATGTGTGCGTCAAGAAAATTTGGGATGCCTCTTACCTCTGTTTCTGATGATTATCTTGCACGCATGGGATAATAATGTAAGTGAAATTTTAAGTCCAGATTAGCACTAGGAGAAACTTCAGGTGCTGGAGCTTCTTTGAGTTATTTTGTTAACAGGCAAAGTGCTGTTTGATACATTTTGTGTACAAAGTTCATGTCTGATATTTTCAAGCACAGCATGTAGACCCAGTGTTTTGCCAATGTTGTATCTGTTTCGTGTGCCCAAATCTCTGGTTATCATTGTACCTTCTTTTTACTGATAGAAACATATAGACTATCCACTCAGACAATAGTTTTCTGGTTTCTAGAACCACCAAAAGGAAAAGAAAAAAGGCATTTTTTTAGACCTTTATATGCTAAAAAAGTAAATATGTTTAAGCAGAAGATTTAATTGAGCCTAACAATCAGTTCTTTTTCATGCTCTTTTCTCTACTGAAGGTTAAGCTAAGGTGAAGGCAGTGTCACCAGGAGTGTGATTATAGCAGTACCTCTGGGGTGTGCATTGCAAAATCAGTCTAAACAAACGTTTTGTGGGAGGGATATTTAATTTTCTACTGATCTGGGTGGAGCAAAAGGCCTACATCAGACCTGTATTTTTACTGATTGTTTACCATCAAATTTCTCCACCTGCTTTGTTTTTGAGACTGATCTTCACAAAGTGTGAGAAGCAGCACAGACTGCAGCTTCCCAAGGGCTGTTCCTCGTGTTCTCAGTAAACATCAGACACTCAGCCCTCTGCAGAAGATTAATAAGATAGACTCTGAAATGCTTTAACAATCAAAAAACCAAACGAAAAGGGATCCACGCTGTCATCAGACAGAGCTTTGGTAGTGGATACCTCCTGGAGTTGTAGAAGTGAGTGAGGGACCTGCATGTATCTTATTGTGGTGCAGGCTGCAGAAACGAGTGGAACAAACCTTTCTATTGGGACCAGGCTGCCCATGCTGGGGGGAGCTACGTGCTCACCTTGCTCCTGACACTGAAAGACTGCTACACTGGAAACCCTTTTAAAGAAATCTGAGTATTTGTGTCACTACAAGTGAACGTTGTATTTTTAAGGAATAAACATTTTTTATGTTCCAATCTCAGCCTTGCTGCTTTCTTTTTCCTCACCTGACTTGCATTGTCTGATACAGGAAAGGTGGTGCTCCAGAAGTAAGACTGAGGGTTGGAGGCCGTGCCCTTTGTGAGCCTGGATATTCTCTGCCCTTGTAGGAGACATCTGTTCTTCAATCTGCCCCAGGGCATATCTGTGTGTGGGGCTCCTTGCTGTGCACGTCCTTGAAGACCTTCTGGCACCTTTCTGTCCTCTGGGCAAAGGTGTCCTCTGGGCGAGGTGTGTGCAGGTACACACACAAATGCCGACATGGGTCCTGATCTAGCTGCCTTTCCATGACAGTTATCATGCAAATGTACACATGAAATGCTGAACGTTCAACAGACTTCTTGCTCTCAGAACTAATTATCCCTTGCATCTTTTCCTTAATGACTGTTAACACCTCTTTCTGTGAAGTGTAACTACGTTCCTATAGCTGCTCTGGATACGCGGTAAGCAGTCATTAGGTATAATGAGGTAGCACTCAGCGTTCTCATTTGTCTTTAAGCAGAGAAGCTCTAAGGCACTGCAGGAGAAGCTCACTGCTCAGTCCGTGCTTGCAGCCTGCAGGAGCACGCCTCAGAGCCCTGCATTTCTACGTTCTGGCGCTCCTCTAGGCTCTGTCACACACTGACGGCCACTGCCGGGCCCAAACCCCACCGCCCGCAGGCAGTCAGGCCGGGCCTGGCGCCCCACGGCGGGGTCTGAAGGAGAGCAGACTGAGACCGAGGAGACCGGAAGTCTGCATGCGCACTTCCGCCTCGGTGCTCCCGTCGCAGTAGGCGGAAGAGGGAGCTGCCGGAAATGGGAACTACCGGAAGTGGAAGCTACCGGAAGATAGCTGCCGGAAGTTGAAGCTACCGGAAGAAGGAGCCGCCACAGAACCGGCAGAGGGAACGAAAGCGGCCGAAGCCTTCCTGCCCTGCCCTGCGCCGGGCCGAAGCGCTGCTGGGCCGCCATGTCTAACATGGAGAGTATCCTCGGATCGACAAGCAGCTCTGTGGGGCGGGCTGGGGATATGTGGGCGGGGTGCGGTGGCTCTTTGCTCTCCGCGGCTGCCGGTCCCCTCGGAAGGCCTCGGTGGGGCTGGGCTGGGGGAGGCATCGGCGCGGGGAGGGTATGAGGGAAGGAGTGGGCGGTGTGGTGGCCGCGTGTCGCCGAGGCGGGAGGTCGCTGCCTGAAGCCTTGATCGGGAGGAAAAGGTTTGGGGTTAATGGTGGGAGCTGAGGTTGTGGTGGTTGTTAAAGGAGAATGGGAAATGCTGATTTTGTTCTGATAGTGAGCTCGGGCCTGGCTGGTTTCACTGGGGCCTGATCTATGTGACTCAGGCAGACAACCAGTTTTCGCTGTGCTGTGCTGTGCTGTAGGACCCTGCAGATTGTTCTAAACACTGCCGACCCACAAAGTGACAGGCAGTGGCTGCTGTGCTGATGGCACGTTGCTCCTCAAGTGTTTGTTTCCTGAAGCCTGACTGCTGTCAGCTGCACAAACTGCTCTTTGTTTCCTGGTGTCAGAAAGAAAGTACAGTCGAGGAGAACCCTTATGGGTGAACTTGAGCTTTCTGGCTGTATGCAATCATCATAATACAGAGAAGTAGAAAAGGCTTAAAAGACGACAAAGATCTCAGTGTAGCTGAAGCGTGCTGCTGGTTGTTGTGGTAGGGAGAGGGGTGGAGCTTGGAGCAGGTGACTGTGAGTCACCTCATGGCTGGTGGTGGAAGTTTGGTTTCGATGAGGTTGTGCAGCTGCAAGGGAGGAGCGAGGCTGTGTCGTCATAGGAGGAAGAACCATGGAGGTAGCAGAGTGCCAAGGGTAAATGTGTATCTGATGAGTAACTGGGGGAGTTACTTCAAAATAAGGTATTCTGAAATGCTCCTTCTCAGTGCAAGCAGGTGTGCAAGTCAGTGTAAGCAGGTGATCTCATATTTTACCTGGTTATTCTGGTCTCTGACCCGTCGTATACTTGAATGGACTTCAGTATGTTTTCTTGTTTGGTAAATGGTCTGGTTTGTGACTCAGAGCAGTTCATTTATTGCTGCAGGAAGAAACAGCGACCCAGATTTTAAAGAAATGAATGCAAATACAAGCAGCAAATTCAGTTTTATTGTTGTTTTAGCTCCCTTAATAGTTAATAAGTCCAGATGACAGAACTGTTGCTGCTCCTGTGACACAAAGATGGAAAGGCTGCTGTTTAAGCCTGAGATCATCCTTTGGCTGGGAAGGGCAGCTCTGCCTCCTGTGTTATCCTGGGTGTGGTCAGCAGAGCCAGCTTGCAGTTATCCAGGAAATTTGTCTGTTGTTCCATAACACTTTTCTTTGGGGGGCTGAGGAGGATCCAGGCAGGCCAGTAAGCTGCTCTTCCATTGCTGTGCTCTTCCATTTCACTGGGAGCCAGAGGCTCAGTGTGCGTGAGTGAAAGGAGCACAGTGAGCCTTTGATTTCTCTTGGGGGGTGTCTGTTTTGTTCTATGTGTCAGTCTGAATTGGATTTGCTGTTACGTGGAGCCAGCTGGGATCTGAACTGCTTTCCTATGGCCCAGTAGGATCAATAGGATGAGTGTCTGTTCTTAATGTCAGTAGAGCAGTGCTAGGGTTGGTAGCACCTTAAACAGGAGAGCAGGTTGGTACGGAGGAAGGATCGATCCTGTTCATGGACCCCTAACTTGTGCTGCAGAACACCTGTTTAATTTGAAGTTTGCTGCAAAGGAACTCAACAGGAACTCAAAAAGATGCGACAAAGAAGAAAAGGCCGAGAAAGCAAAGATTAAGAAGGTGAGCAGTGGGGCTGAAACATCTTCAGGTCTGGTTACATTGTGTAGCAGAATCTGTTGCTGTTTCCTGGCATGCCTGCTGATGGCACTGATAAATGCTTGAGACTTAAATTACATACTGTACGTTTTCCCATGCTTATTAGTAAGTGTGAGGATGTGTTCTTCATGAAGAACTGGTGGCTTTTAGCTGCTAAGAAAATTGTCTTAGATCTATTTTGTTTTAATTAATAAAAATATATTGATGTGATCAATTGATGCTTTTATAAAAAATAGGCTGTTAGAAAAACATGCTTATGAAGATCCAGGAGAGTTGGAATGCTTTTTTTCTTCTCTCATACAGGCCATCCAGAAGGGGAACATGGAAGTTGCACGAATACATGCAGAAAATGCCATCAGGCAGAAGAACCAGGCCATTAATTTCCTGCGCATGAGTGCCAGGGTTGATGCTGTGGCAGCAAGAGTTCAGACTGCAGTGACAATGGGCAAGGTAAGTCTATTTGAATGCGTCCTTGGAAAGGATTAGTCCCTTCTGATCCTCTTGGGAGGGACTGAATTCCATCTGTAATGAGCTGGAAGGTTGGTTTCACATGTGTCTGTTAATAAGTCGGGTGCTGGAATCATACAGTAGAGGCATAGGATCTCCAAGGTTGGAAAAGACCTCTGAGGTCATCCAGTCCAACTGTCCAGCTGTCACCAAGACTTCCCCTGAGCCACATCCCTCAGCACGACGTCTGCACAGAGTCTAAAGGAGCTTTGCTGGCACTTGCTCCTTAGTAATAGGTGCTTCTTTGCCATGATTGTAGCTTGTAACTCGTTAATTGCTGTTATTCGTGCTCCTAAGGAGATCCCTTCCCAAATGCATGCAGCCATTTGTAGGACTTCTGATCCCAGGAATCGGATTCCCAGGGGAATGTGGTCACTGTGTGTGGTGGGGTGGGCTGTGCTTGGGGACCTCAGAGGGCTTTTCCAGCCTTACCTTTTTAGCTCAGGTGATACCTTATGGTACGTGGCTGTGCTGCTGCTCAGGCACAGTTTGTGCTGCCCTGTGATCTGTGTACCTAAACACATCCGTTATCCTTTGACAGGTTTTGAGACCCTCAGAAGTTAATGCCATATAGATCTCAGCTTTTAGTGCATGAATGGATTTGTAACGTTTCCAATGGAAGGACCCTAAAAAAAGGGATGTTCTAGATGGCAGTAAAATATGCCCTGCTATTTGGTACTGTAGGAACTGGATAGAAGTGAGAGGGCTCAGTAAGAAACTCATCATTTTTCCTCCTTGTGATGAATTCTTGACCTCGTTTCAGGTAACGAAGTCGATGGCAGGGGTGGTGAAATCCATGGATGCCACTCTGAAGAGCATGAACCTGGAAAAGGTAAATGGAAACTTTTTGTGGAGGTATATATAAAAAGTTCTAGGAGTTGTGCTGCTCTTCTGTTATCTGCAGCTCAGTGATTCGATTTGTGTTTTTGTAGATATCTGCATTAATGGATAAATTTGAACATCAGTTTGAAACACTGGATGTGCAGACGCAGCAGATGGAGGACACCATGAGCAACACTACAACACTAACAACACCACAAGTAAGAATACTAAACAAAAAACTTTGTTCAAACTGCATGGAAAAGTTACGTGCTCCTTTCTGCCTGCTTTGAGGCACCTGAAGTGTTTTCATCTTCTGCTTCTTGATGAGAAGAGAGTCTTTCAAGTTACAGCCACAGTGTGGCAGGTCATGCAGTTGCATTTTGCTCTCTCTCACTTCTAGTAGGACTGATTTTATATTACCCATTGAGATCTTCAGCCCTGCTGTGGAATGAGCAGTGCTTTGGTGAGCTCTTGGTAAAGCTTCTTAGCTGAGATACACTCTTAAGCAATGCTTAAGGTAGTTGAATGTTCCTGGCAGCTGCCAGCTCCTGGTAGCCCAGAAGATGTTGAACTTCATCAGAAGTTTTGTCTGATGCTTATTGGAGGCAGCGCTTTGTCAATAAACCTTAAACCACGTCTGTTGGAGATGGGCTTTCTTTCCCAGTGTGCAGAGCACTGGTTTAATGGTTTGCAGTCAGCAGTTGATGGCACTGCGTTCGGAGATGTTTGCTTTGTTTGCTAACAGCTGACTGCAGTTCTTCAGGAGCATTATTTCTCAGACACTGAAGTTCAGTGAATGGGCTTTTAATAGTCAGAACTCTGCTGGTTTTTGAGTTCATGCAGAGCCCTCTGGTGGTTAAGCACAGTTTTGTTAAAGATGTTTCACTTTAAAGCAGTGTTTTGTTTTTAAAATCTGTTCTGCAGGATTGAACAGAAGAGCTCAGTGTGAGCTGCAGCAGTGCAACTGAGCCAGTTTTGTTTTCTTTTCTCTAGAACCAGGTGGATATGCTTCTACAGGAAATGGCAGATGAAGCAGGGTAGGTAACACCAACCCTTCCAGGCAGACACAGAGGTGAGGTATCAGTGCTTCAAATGTGTCTCTTGGAAGCAGACAAGTATCAGTAACTTTCCTTTCACCCCTGGCCATCAGTCACTGTTTATAACTTAGCTGTAGGTTTTTCTGTCTCTGTGTCACTGGTATGCATGGTGTGTCTGATACATTACTGTTAAACTGAAGTCTTGCTCTGTCCTGATGCTGGTTGCCATGTGTGGCTTGTCTTGGTGGTGAAGCTAGCTTCCTGGTTGGGCTGTCTAATGAGCAGGTCTGCAGTGTTCATTGCGTGCCAGGGATCTCCTGCTGTCCCAGTGTTGCTCAGTGTGTCACTTCTTGTACTTCTTCCTTTAGCCACGTGTGCCTGACTTTTGTTCTGGTTTTGTACTTTTCTGTTATCTGTAGCCTTGATCTGAACATGGAACTACCTCAAGGGCAGACAGGTTCTGTTGGTACAAGCGTTGCCTCAGCAGAGCAGGTAAGTTAAGACTCAATAGAAGTCAATGTTTCTAAAGAGCTGTGGAACAGAACTCATGCTTCACTCAGCCAGAGCAAACTTGCTAAATTCTAATTAGATTTTGGCAATTCAAAAGAAATAATATGTAATTAAAGCAGTCTTGTAAGCACAGTAATTAAAAATACGTTTAGTTTAGTGGATGCATTAAGTTTAGTTATTTCCAAATCTTTTTTGCATGATTATCTAATAGAGTTCCAAACTGCTGAGTCTCTGACCTGCTCCAAATGTAATGAATCCTCCCAGCTCCCTTTCCATACACAGAGACTGTGCTTTTTTTTTTTTCTTTTCCCCATTTAACCTCTGAAAATCTTTAAAAGATGAGTGTGCAGTGCTCTATGTTTGCCCTAGGCAGCTTAGAATTTCTTGTTGGGGCTTGGACTCGATGCCATCTGCACGCACGACTGCAGAACCCCACAGTGACCGCGTGCTTCCCGAAAATCAGTGTTCCTTTTACTGATGGTTTCTTTGCTTTGCATCTCTGCAGGATGAGCTGTCACAGAGGCTGGCCCGCCTTCGTGATCAAGTTTAAGTTAAGCAGAGCTGCAGCCCTGGCTGTGCTGTCAGAATACTGAGGTTTCCCCCCTGTGCTCAAAAGGTGCGCGCAGTGCGGCGTAGGTGTTCCAATATTTGTAACGTAGGGTTCTTCACTCTGAGCTTCTCCTCTTTCTAATACATTCAGTAATCCAGAAGTATCAGCTCTCATGTCTTTTTCTGTACATTTTGAAGTTGATATATTTTTGGCAAGCTTTTTTTCACTGAATCAAGTTGATATCCTAAGTCAGCCAGTAACGCCGGAGCATTCTAGCTGAAAGGAAAGCAGAGTGCTATTGATAAATATTTTAAATTATGAAGTGATTTTTTTTTTTTTTTTTAAATTATGAGAACTGTTTGTGGTTGGAGAACTGATATATTCAGTTCTGATGATTGTAGTAGCCAACTTTCTTATATAGCCAAGCTCCTGGAACCTTAGAGGTGGACAGTGTGGACTTCATGCAAGTACACTTGTCAAAATGAAAGAGTGGACTTCGGCCTGTGGTGGTTGTAATATTGTAAAGCTACAGTAATGGTGCAGGTTCAGTTAAAAATAAGTTACCAAAAGCTGTTTTCATGTAATTGGGAACTTGTACGGTTTGATCACTTTAGTCCAGGAGGAATAAAATATATTTTTCAACTTGGTTGGTTCTGTTGAATATTTTAGCTTGCACGTTGTTTAATGTTGAGTGCTGTAGCTTCTCCGTTTTGCTTTTCTCAGCATCCTGTGGTGCAGCCAGTAATGCCACGGTCGTCTCTGCTTCCACCACCGTGGTGTGGAGCTCCTGCTCTCTGTTATCCTTAGGCTCAAGCTGAGAAACCCCATGTGAGATAACTGAAGCCTGCTTTTCTCATTCCTTGTCGTGCTTTCTCTCCATTTGTTTTTCCTTTATACGCAAGGAAAAGCACTGATCGTATCCCCTACTTCTGCCATATAAGAAACACCAAAGTGCTTTTCCTCAGGTTTGCATCCTCACGGTCATCCTTCATGAGCCAAGGTCCCAACCTTGTCCTCTCCAACCAGGGCACACTCCTGGGTCAGCTTGCTTCCTCTGCTCGTTGCAGCTGGTCTGGTATTGGAGAGAGCAAAGTGAGAACTGGGTGAGCAAGGGGGGCACAACTGCTGTGCCTCCACTCAGCTGCTGGATGAATGCATTGGTTCTGTTGGGTTGAGAACAGCTGCCTTGTTTTGTGAGGTGTAATATTGCTCTCTGCAGGTGGGGTAATGTGGTCCATAACATTGAAGTCATCTATGGAGAAGGTGGTTTGTTTTAGTTCATCTTCTTACACTTCTGCACAGTGAGAGATTCGGACTGCTTTCAGGAGCTTTCAGACTCCTGTGGCTGTGAAGTAAAGAAATGGAGGTAGAAATTCATAGCAGAAACTACTTGTGGTGTGTTGTGGTAAGTGATGATGTTAAACATTTCTTCCTGACTTTTTTGGAATCATTTTTTGTAGGTGTGAGGAAGATGTGAAGCACCATAGACTTAGAATTACTTCTTAATTCACCGGTGCTGAGGACCATGCAGACTTGCCAGCATTGGGGAAATGTTTCAGTTAAAAACTGCTTACTTTCTTTTAGTCAGCAGGATTTTTTTTTCAGTGAAAAATGGGCAAAAATGAGGAAACTGTGGAGCTGTTTCAAGCCATTTTTGATGTGCTGCTCAGTCGCTTTGGAGGCGTAGCAGGATGTTACGTGCTGAGGTATTCAGGGCACAAAGCATGGAAAATCAGATAAAGCAACCTGAAATGTGGGTTTGTATCTCAGGCTGGCAGCCTGAATTTGAGTGATTTAAATGTGCACTTTTCCTGTGTTTGCACTTAAGTTCAGTGCAGCCTTCTTTCAAACACCTTTCAACGTTCCTCCTGCAAATAGGAGAAGCTGGAAGGTATTTTAGAGATGATACACTCTTAACTGTAGGTACAATCCTTTAAAACCATTAAGGTAAATGTATGCTACCCCTTTTTTCCTCCTAGCTACTCCTGAACAGCATAACAAAATGGTAGTGGTGTATCTATGCAACCAGGTTACCCACAGCTGTGGAAACTGGTGTGTGTGCCTTCATCCTGGTGCACTTGGTGTACTTGTTGACACTCAGTTACTTCAGATCTCGTGACAGGACTGGAAGCTGCTGTTGTGTAATAAATGCACTAAATCTGAACTTGCTTTGCAGTTGGTTGTTGGTAGGGCTGTACCATAAGCTCAGGATTCCTTGTGTTTGGCAACCTGCTGTGTTGCACAGAGCTGGGCAGACTTGGCTGATAAAGCAAAGAAGGTTGGGACCAGAAGGAATCTTTGCCCCGCTGCTTCAGCTTTGAGCATTGCTGTGTGTGAGTGTTGCCAGCATCGTGCACCAGTTGCTTCTGCTTGTAGATCTGCCTTCTCCTGGGCAAGGAGCCTCTGTGTGTGTGAGCTGCCCTTCACCACGTTGCAGGAGTTGCATTTATAATGTCTGCATGTTTCTCCAGTGTTTTGCAAGTGCTTAAAACTGGAACTTCAAGCAATATTTGACTCTGGTATAATTCTTCCATTGGAGTTCTCCTGGAAACGTTTGGTGTTTTTTTTCTGACCCACTGTGGCTCCTTGCTTTTACGTTCCTGGTGTCTCTTGTGAGATGATGGTGTACTTCTGCAGCAGTCTGCTTTGTGTTAAATAAATTGTATGAGCATTTATGCAACCTCTTTACCAAACAGTGCTTCAGTATTTGTACTTATGAGCAGGCACATCTAAGGTGAAACGTTGCTTCAGGGTGGTTTTGCTCACTGTTTAATTCCTGGTTTACTATAGACTGTGGTATCTTTGTGTTATGCTTCCTACTGCTCGTGTCCAGGCAGCCTTCATTCATTGGATTCCACAACAAAGCCATGAAAAGATCCAGCTGAAAGGAGAAGGGAGGAAAGGAAGGAAAAGAAATCTCAGTGCCAACGGGAGAAGATCATCACTCTGCCTTTGTGGAGACCCTCAGAGCCCAGAAATTTTGTTACATATGGTCAGCAACGATGTACAGAGACAAATTCTGAAGTTGGTGACGTTGTATAGAGAAGAGAATAATTTTTGTAACTTGGCAGTGTTCATGGTGGAAACGGCTTTACTTGTTATGGGACGATTTGTAACTGTAACTGCAACTGGTAAATAAAACTGTACAGCCAAATGACTTCAGGTTGTGTTGCCCAGGCTGTGGATGGTTTCTGGCATGGCTCTGTGCGGGGACAGATGAGCGGCGTGTCGTTGGTGTGCTGTCCTTAATGCACACAGTGGGAAAACTGGCAGCTGCTGGTGGCTGAGTTGGTCCTCCGTGGGGCTTCCATCGTTGTTTGGGACCCAGCAGAGGGAGCCTTGAGCTCTGCTTTTGTGTGGGTCCAACAGAAATCAGCATTTCGTTCTTACAGGGGGGCTTTGGCAGCCCTGCGAGCTGCTTTGAGCAGCTTTGTCTCATGGGGACCCATTGGTTCCGGATGGCATCGCTGCCGTTTCATCCAGACAGAAGCACACTGTGAACTGATGGAAGATAGGATTTAACAGAAAGTTCCGTTTTTGTTTTCAAAGGGAGTGTTGAGATTTTGATGGAGCACATGATGGCTTTGCTTCAGGACTCTGTAGAGCACTGCTTTCTGCTGTCAGCGTTGGCATGTGTGTCAAGCTATATTTTCTCCATGAAATCCCAGTGGGGTCAGTGGCCTTCCTCGTGTCAGAAGCAGCTCTGTTACCATTCAGATAAAGGAAAAGAGCAACGTGAGCAATCTGCAGCTGATTCCAAGTGCCATCGCCCTGCTTGACAGGGAAGAAGATGCAGTCAGGCAGTCGCTGTGCTGTGGGATGTGAGCTCTCTGGGAAGCCCTGCAGTGTCCTCCAGCAGTGGGCTGGGGCAGACTCACTGCTCTCTGTTTGTTACTCATCCTTCTCAGCCTTTCTGTTCAGACTGTGTGCATTGCTAAGGAGAGCCTGAAGTTGTTAGCTCGAAATGAAATAACTGTTTCCCTGAAGTCTAAAGTCATAAATCAGACATGCAAGCTTATCTGACAAGATAACAATCAGCTTAATTTAATTTCCCCACTATCTGCTTCGTAATACTTTGTTATCATCAATTTCTGTCTGAAGGAGCTGGCAGGGGTAGGAAAGCCTTTTGAAACATTCCATGAAGACATCCCCTCCCCATGTATTCTTTCTATGTATATTGTTGCTTGTTTTTAAGAACTCTCCTTTTATTCCCAAGAGGTAACGCTGCCATCCTGCTGGGATGTTTGCTTTGGTGGAGGTGGCAGTGCTCCACTCCTCTCCTCTCACTGCACACTGGATCCACGTTGGCTGCTGAGCGCGTCGCTTCCGACCCCGGATGGAGCCCAGCACTGACTGCAGGCTGTAGGAAAGCTGCCAGTCCCCTTTGGAGTGTTGTCAATTAGTTCCAGTCTCCCGGAGCTGGCCGTGACCAATTGCTGTGACCTGGAAGTGGATTAAGTCCATCACAGGGAGATGGACTTTTCCTGCAGTAATTTGACAAACGCAGTCTTTTTTTTCCTTCTTAAAGTCCCATGTAGAAGCTGTGCCTCATTTGCTCCCTGGTGATGGACGTCGTTTCCGGATCGAAGCGATAACGATTATCCAGATTTCTGCTGATTGGTGTAGCAGGTGCCTTAATTTATTAATGCCAGGAGAAGAGAGGGATTCGATGGCAATGAGAGGAGGGCTCCTGGCAGCAGCTGTATATCACAGTGCTCCCTGACCCCCTTGCCCCACTGCAAGCACTTAAGAACCTGATATCTCCATACACTCACATCCATTTCTGCACCAGAGATGTCTGTGGGGTTAGAATTATTAATACCTATCAGCCTGGCGTGGCTCTGGTTCGGTAAGATGCACAGATGGAATTCAGCCATTGCACCCACTGTTGACTTTTGCCACTTTGGAGGCTTTTGCCTTTGCTGGAATTACTGCCTTGCTGCATTTGCATGCTGTTGCATACAGAAGGAGGCATTTGGACTTAATTTTTGGCGCTGCTGTGTGTGTTAATCAGCCAAGGTACGGCCTGCTCCCGGGCTGCGGCTGTTTGCAGGCATGGTGGGATGGAGATGTGTCGGCACAGCTGCTGAGCACATTGAACAGGGAGCAGTCAGTCACACTCCGGGAGTTTTAATTGAATTACCTTTGACAGTGAACAGCAAACCTGGTGGGTGATCTACTAAATTAAACTGATGAATGGGCTCCCGAAAATCAATTAGCGCACGGGGCTGAGAGCACGAGCACATCCTGCTGCTCCGCAGGGACCGAGCGGGGCTGGACTGACAGCAGCAAATGCGAGACAAAGTGAAAGCATGCATCTGCCTCTGCTGACCTCTGCTCCAGCATGAAAGCAAAACAGGAGCTGGAGGAATCCGCCAGTAAATCACCGGAGCTCTGTTCTGCAGAGCTGATACAGGATGCTTCCAACCCTCTTGATTAATGCTGGGCTGTGTGCTGAGGAAAGATGTGGAGGCTGCAGAGACGCAGCAAGGGAGAACAGCTGGCAGCTCTTTGGTTTTCAGCTGCTCGAAGAGGGATCCTCTAATGCTGCTGTAGTGCTGTGGATGGGCTCTGTCTGCAGCCCTGAGAAGCTCTGCTGCCTGGTGCTGGGTGGGGGCTGCCCCAACCCTGTGCCCCAGCAT